CCTGGGCTTGGGGTCAAAGAGGGACCAACAAGGCCAGGAGGAGAGGGGAAGCAGAATATGCAAAAAGAGGGGAAACCAAAGAGAAGGAAGTCACCATGGGGCAGTATGGACCATGAACATGTGGCTATGAGGGCTGGCCTGATGGAACAGAAGCACTTCAGCCAAGAACAATTTTGGAAAATAAGTTTGAGCTGTGTATCTGGGGAATAGAAAAATGGCTTAGTTATAGATTTATAATTCTAAAGGTTCTGTCTCAATTATTTAAGAACTAGCTGGGGTAGAGAAATCTCAAGAGTGTAATGTCCCTTCCACATCAGAAAATAATTCTTTAAGAAATGAAGCTGGGAAACCTGGATTCCACATAGAGGAGAATGCAAGTAGATCCACATCTCTGACCCTGCTGAGAAAAATCAAAGATCAAAGATTTTAAACTTCCAAATTACAAGGATAGGTAACCAGATTCCAGTAGCATAAGAAATATTCATTGGCATTAACAAATGGGATCATATGTCTTTTGCTTCTCCATGGGGTGGGGAACACTACTAGAGTGAATAATGGATGAAATAACGGTGGAAATTCTTAGCCAACTATATCAGATTGCTTAATATCAATAAAATACAAAATGAATGCAAGAACACATCAAAGATATCATCCATCATGACCAAGTATACTTCATCCCAGGAATGCATGGGTGGTTCAATATATGGAAATCCATCAATGTAATCAATGATATAAACAAACTAAAAAAAAAAAAATGATCAACTTAGATACCAGAAAAGCATTTGACAAAATCAAATACCTGTTCATGTTTAAAGTATTGGAGAGATCAGGGATGCAAGGCACATACCTAAACATAGTAAAGGCAGTATACATTAAGCCTATAGCCAACATCAAACTTAATGGAGAGAAACTGAAAATCAATTCCACTGAAATCAGGAACAAGGCAAGGCTGCCCACTTTCTTCAACATAGTACTTGAAGTCCTAGCTGGAGCAATAAGACAGCTAAAGAAGATCAAGAAGATACAAAGTAGAAAGTAAGAGGTCAAAGTATCACTATTTGCTGATGGTTTAACAAGATACATAAGTGATCCCAAAATTTTATCAAGGAACCCTTACAGCTGATAAACACCTTCAGCAAAGTGGCTGGATAAAAAAATTAAATTAAAAAAACCAGTATAAAAAAGCAAAAGGGCTGAGAAAGAAATTAGGGAAACAACACCTTTCACGGTAGCCACAAAAACAGAAAGTATCTTGGTGTAACTCTAACCAAGCAAGTGAAAGACTTGTATGAAAAAAAGCTTCAAGTCTCTGAAGAAAGAAATTGATGAAGCTATCAGAAAATGGAAAGATCTCCTATGCTCATGAATCAGTAAGATTAACATAGTAAAAATGGCCATCCTACCAGAAGCACTCTACGGATTCAGTGCAATTCCCATCAAAATACCAACACAATTCTTTACAGACCTTGAAAGAACAATTCTCAAATTCATATGGGGAAAAAAAAAAAGAACAGCTAAAACATTCCTGTACAATAAAATATCTTTTGAAGGTATCTCCATTCCTAATCTCAAGCTGTACTAAAGAGCAACAGAAATAAAAACAGCATGGTACTGGCATAGAAACAGAAAGGTAGATCAATGGAACCGAACAGAGGACTCAGAAATAAACCCACACACTTATGGACACCTGATCTTTGACAAAGATGCCAAAACCACACAATGGAGAAAAGATAGCATCTTCAACAAATGGTGCTAGTCTGACTGGATATCTACATGTAGAAGAATGCAGATCCATGCTTATCACCCTGCATGAAAATAAAGTACAAGTGGATCAAAGACCTGAACATAAAACCAGACACACTTAATCTGTTAGAAGAAAAGCTTTGAAGAAGAGCCTTGAACTGATTAGCACAGGAGAAAACTTCCTGAACAGAACACCAACAGCACAGGCTCTAAGATCAACAATTAATAAATGGGACCATCTGAAACTGAAAAGCTTCTGTAAAGCAAAGAACACTGTTAACAGAACAAAATGACAGCCTACAGACTGGGCAAAGGTCATCACCAACACTACATCCAACAGAGGGCTAATATCCAAAATATATGAAGAACTAAAAAAATTATACACTAACAAACCAAATAACCCAATTAAAAATGGTATACAGAGCTAACCAGAGAATTCTCTGCAGAGGAACATCAAATGTCAGTGAAACACTTAAAGAAATGCTCAAGATCCTTAGTCATCAGGCTAATGCAAATCAAAATGACTCTCAGATTCCAACTTACACTCATCAGAATGGCTAAGATCAAAAACACAAGTAACAGCACATGCTGGCAAGGATGTGAAAAGGGGAACCCTCCTCCATTGCTGGTGGGAGTGCAAATAGATTTCTGAGTTCAAGGCCAGCCTGGTGCAGAGCAAGTTCCACAGAGAGAAAAACTTAGGCCCGGGTATGATGGTACTTGCCTTTAATCGCAGCACTCAGGAGAAACAGGCATGCAGATCTCTGAAATCTAGTCAGTTCGGTTGAATCAGTTAGTTGAGAGGCAGTGAGTGGAGTTAAGTTCATGGCAGTTCAATTCATGGAATTTAGAGGTAGTTTTATCAGGAGAGTTTTACAGAAAAAGGATCAAGAGAGAATAAGCTAGACACAGCTGAAGACAGAACAAGTCAAAGAATGAGAAGGAGCCAGAAGAGTAGAACAGATTACTAGAGTTTGAGGCCAAGCAGAGCAATTCACTCAAAGCTGAGAAGCCAGTTTGAATCAGTCATCTTGGAAAGGAGTTTGAGCCAGAACAACTGAGTTAAACTAGCCATCCAGAGTTCAAAAAGAGCAAGAAAGGGTAAGCTTACCAGCAGTAAGTCTCAGAGGCTGAAAATATTCTAGGCCTAGATTAGATTGTATGGAGGCTAGAAGCTTCCAGGACTAGGTCTAGGTTAGCAGACAGAGGTGGTAAGCCTCAGAGATGACAATTAAATCAGGCAAATAAAATTTACTTTGCAGGGATTGTTTTTAAATGAGATGCAATAATAAATAAATGTGCATCTTAGTATGTTCCTGAATACCATTAAATAATATTTTTGTCTTTTTATCTTTATTATTAACTTTGTATCCCCCTGCAGCTCCCTCCCTTCTGCCCTCCCTATTCCACCCTCCTTCCCCCATTAAATAATATTAAATACTATTAAAAGCACATAATTCATAAAATAAACCTTTATATACTTTTATAAACAACGTATTATGATGCATGAATGATAATATTAGAATTAGCATCAAAAGATTTAAAAAATCATTTGTCAGAGAAAAGAGTTCTACAAAGATCAGGTGTGTGTGTGTGTGTGTGTGTGTGTGTACACATGTGTGTGTGCGCGCGCACGTGCGCACGCGCATTATAAAATGTTTTGTTGACCATTGATAATGAGAAGTCAAGTATTTCAAAATTACCTTGTATTTTAGCAGTTCTCTTTTATTCTCAAGTTTCTTTGAAAACATATTTCAACAGTTCTCCCAAAGCTAAAGCTTATCTTGTTATAATTGCATATTTCAGCCAATGTGAATGACTACAAGAAGTGTGTGCACTGTGAGACTGAAGAGGTTCTAGAGTAAATATTTCTTAGAATTTGAAATAAAATACAAGAGTCAAAAAGAGCATAACTTTATTTCAACAAAACAAAAGATATAAAATTAATAATGATAAGTGGATGGAAAATTATATAAAAGATAATATGCTACAAATTACCTTAAGCACGTTATCATTAGGAACAGACTAACCTACTAATCCCGAACAGTGTGTAATAAAAATATTAGCTAGATCCTTTCTGTCCTGGTTTGATCCTCTGATACTTTGATAAACCCCATGAGCAAAAAGCAACTTGGAGAAAAAAGTTTATTTCATCTTACACACTATAGTCCACCATGAAAGGAATCCAAGACAGGAACTAAAGGCAGAAACCTGAGCAATGTTATGGAGGAATGCTGTTTACTGGCTTATTCCCAGTCTCATTTTCAGTTCCTTTTCTTATACTGCCCAGACCCACAGCCTAGGGATGGTATTGTATGTAGTGAACATTTTGGTTTCTTTAAAAATTCAGTTATGTTATGTTTTTATTTTAATCCCAAGTGTGATATATGGGACTGCTTTTAGTTTGTTCACAGCTGATGATTGTCTTCTGAGGGGCATGGTCTTTGCCAGCCAGAGATAATTAAATTCTAAGGATTCTAGGGGGCCCAGAGAGGAAAAGAACATTTCAAGGAGAAACTTTAAAGAGACAATGCTCCAAGGAAAAAAAAAACTGCTACTCTCAGTTGCTGTTGTTGAAGTTTGATGAGAAGTTGGAGATATCTGAAATGAAGTGAACCCAACAACCCTAGCCATCAGGAAGCAGGTAAAGAGGTATATGTCCTCCATCCCTTCTAACCTTCTTTCTTAGGGTCAGGGTGTTGGAAGGAAGTTAGAGATATAAGGAACCCCAAATAAAATAAACTCCAAAAACAATTGTCCACAATGGGCTGGACCCTGCTGCATTGACTGCAACTCAAGAAAATGTAACTGTCACACTCACAGGCCAATCTGATAGAGATGATTCTTCACTTAAAGTTGCCTCTTCCTAGATGTGTCAGGAGGACAGCCAAGATTAGCTTTCACACCTATGATAGTTTTTTAACTCAGGGGGAAAAAGTAACCTGGGTAAGGTGGTGCACGCCTTTAATCTCAGCACTCGGGAGGCGAAGGCAGGAGGATTGCTGTGAGTTTAAGGCCAGCCTGGTCTACAGAGCAAGTCCAGGACAGCCAAGACAACACAGAGAATCCCTGTCATGAAAATAAATAAATAAATAAATAAATAAATAAATAAATAAATAAATAAATAGATAAATAAATAGATAAATAAATAGATTAGTAAAAAAAAAAAAGAAAGAACATAATTCTATACACAACATTAACAACGCACTAAGAATTTCATATTCTAATAATGTATTATATGACTATGGGGGGAAAAGACTAAAGTCTTAGACTCCATCTTGTTCTGATAAAAATCACCCAAAGTTATCTTTTTGCTTTTCAAAATTGAGCTTCTAATTTGGATTTATAACATATTGATGTCTTCACAGATGAGCTATCATCACGATTCCAAAATCTCTAATGAGTTTTTCTATCACACCAAATATTTCCCTATGAATTATAAGTAGCATTTGATGCTTTCCTCAATTCTATACAGTTCATGGAATATGTTTCTTATGATAATTCCCTTATGTCTCTTAAGATTTGCATGATGTACAAATCTGATTGCACAGTGCTTTTTACTGTAATAGTTTGCTTTTCTCAGTTTTATTTATTTGACAATGTTCCTTCCCAAGACATTATGCATGTATAAAGTTCTATTAGAATTCACTAATGGTTAATGAGGATTTCCCACATTACTTGCATTTGTAGAATTTCTCTAAAATGTTTGATATTGCATAATTATAGAATGTTCAATACAGCCATCTTCTTCACCATTACAAGATCTCTCCAGTATGTAATGGTGAATGTTGAGTAAGGATTAAACTGTTATTAAAGCCCTTCCCTTACCCATTCATTTCTAAAGTTTCTCTCATATGAATTCTTTAGTGTTGAGTTATCAATAAACAATTATGGAAGGGTTTGCAACAGTGTTTGGAATAATCTAGATTTTTCTCTACTATGAATTCTGCAGTTTTGAGTAAAGTTTGAACAATTTTGAAAGGCTTTGACACATTGTTCACATTTGTAGGGCTTCTTATCGGTATGTTGCTTAAGATTTGAAGAAGAATTAAAGGTCTGGCCACATTCTTCACATTTGTAGGGTTTCTCTCCAGTGTGAAATTCTTCATGTTGAGCAAGACTTGAAGTATAATTAAAGGCTTTGCCACAGTCTTTGCATTTGTAGGGTTTCTTTCTGGTATGAATTCTCTGATGTTTTGACAGCATTGAATGAATATTAAATGTCTTTCCACATTCATCACAGTTGTAAGGTTTCTCTCCAAAGTGAATTCTCTGATGTCTAGTGAGCGTTGTGAAAACACTAAAGGCCTTGCCACATTTTTCACATTTGTAGGGTTTCTCTCCAGTATGAACTCTCCGGTGAACAATAAGGCCTGAACAATTAGTAAAAGGTTTGCCACACTCTTCACATCTGTAGCGCTTCTCTCCAGTATGGACTCTTTGATGCTTAACCAGATATGAAGAACATTTAAAAGCTTTGCCACATTCTTCACATTTGTAGGGTTTCTCTCCAGTATGGATTCTGTGATGCTTGCTCAGATATGAAGAACACTTAAAAGCTTTGTCACATACTTCACATTTATAGAGTTTCTCTCTGGTATGAATACTTTGATGCTGCTTAAGGCGGGAAGAATAGCTAAAAGATTTGCCACATTCTTCACATGCATGGGGTTTCTCTCCAGTATGTATTTTTTGGTGTTGAATTAAATTATAAAAATTACTAAAGGCTTTCTCACATTCTTTACATTTATAGGGTTTTTCTCTACTATGTGTTTGCTGGTGTTTCATAAAAGTTGAAAAAATGCTAAAGGGTTTACCACATTCTTCACATCTGTAAGGTTTCTCTCCACTGTGGACTCTTTGATGCTTACCCAGATATGAAGAACACTTAAAAGTTTTGCCACATACTTCACATTTGTAGGGTTTCTCTTCAGTATGGAGCTTTTGATGCTTACCCAGATATGAAGAACACTTAAAATCTTTGCTACAGACTTCACATTTGTAGGGTTTCTCTCTGGTATGAATATTTTGATGCTGCTTAAGGCGGGAAGAATAGTTAAAGGATTTGCCACATTCTTTACATGTGTATAGTTTCACTCCAGGATGAATATTTTGGTGTTGAATTAAATTATAACAATTATTAAAGATTTTCTCACATTCTTTGCGTTTATAGGGGGGCTTTTCTCCCCTATGTATTTGCTGGTGTTTCATGAAAGTTAAACAAATGCTAAAGGCTTTCCCACACTCATCACACTTATATGGTTTCTCTCCAGTATGAATTCTCTGGTGGTAAATAAGGTTTACAGAACAGTAAAAGGCCTTGCCACATTCCTTGCATTTGTAGGGTTTCATGCCAGTATGGATTCGCCGATGCTTATACAGATAAGAACAGCTAAAGGCCTGGCCACAGTCATTGCATTTATAGAGTTTCTCTCCTCTATGAATTTGTTGGTGCTGGTTCAGTCTGGAAGAACAGTTAAAAGCTTTGCCACATTCTTTGCATTTGTAGGGTTTCTCTCCAGTGTGGATCCTCTGGTGCTTAGAAAGAATGCAGTGGACATTAAAGGCCATGCCGCATTCTTCACACTTGTACGGTGTCTCTCCAGTATGGATTCTCTGGTGCTGTTTAAAGCTGGAAGAATAGTTAAAAGGTTTGCCACTTTCTTCACATGCACAGAGTCTCTCTCCAGTATGAATTCTTTTATGTTGAATAAGGACTGAGTTCCTATCAAAGACCTTCCCACAGTCTTTATATTGATAGGGTTTTGATCCTGTTTAAAAAAAAAAGTATTGAAATATCAGTAAAAGCATACCACCATACTTTATATTTATACTGCTCACTCTTAATGTGAATACTTAAAAATTGTGATTTCATTTTGACACAAAATTAAGCATCATATAAATGCAAAACTATAGACATTTGCACACCCATATTTCCAGTAGCCTCATTCAGAAACTACAGGTATAAACAACATAATCCACTGCTGTACTGAGACTATGAAGACAGTGTGAACAAACAAATATGGAAAACTATTAAAGTTAAATAGCCAGACTTGATATAACACCTAACTAAAAACTTCTTAAAGGGCATTGTATTGATGGTCTTAAATGGAAACTCAAAGTTGGAAAACATGTCAAACAGGGAGTCAATGGCAATTGTGTTAGGTTAGTTGGAGGTAAAATTCAAAATACTTTTAAGTATATGGTTTAAGTTTTCAAAGCTATGAAATTATATAAAGATTACTGTATAACACATTTAAACAGATTTATGAAATCTTTAAGACAATGATACATTTTGCTGACAATGACATAAAAACTTAAAAATAAAATTATTAAAACCTTTTTAGTTCATCTAGAAGTGACATAAGTTCTGATAAGGGAACATATCTGTCAGTAAATACAAAAGTTACATAAATTCTGGGAACACTCATTTAGAAGGCTACAACAACTATTGAGTAACCAATGAAGAGACGACATACATAAAGCTTGAAATTAGGAATAATATTTTATAGTCAAATGATTACATCACTTTCAAAAGACCTACGCATCTTAATGTCATACATTATCCTTAAAAAATAGAGTAATCAATAGTGTCATCTAGAAAATATATTGGGCACAGGGAAGCACATTATCACATAATATAAAGAAGTATAGACTTAAAAATCAAACACAGATAATAGAGTTGCAAAATAAGAAAAATAATCATTTTGGGATAAATGTTTGAAAGACTATCAAAAATATACTAAACAAATCTTACCAATATGTATACTTTTCAGCTATGACTACACACTTACAAAGCACAGAACTTTAAAATACTGTCACTAAGTGTGTGGCAAAAATAAATAAATAAAATAAACACAGCCCTCATAAGAATGCATTATAGGGCCAGCAAGATGGCTCAGAAGGTAAGGAGCACTGACCCCAAGCCTGAACATCTCCTCTGTATCCCTCGACCCACATGGTAGAAGGAGAAAATCAACCCTTGAATTTTGCCATCTGCCCTCAAAAGGAGCAGTGTCATGTGCACACAATGAGAGCTCTGATGAAACTGGGTCAACTATTGAGCATATAAATGTAATTAGAGGTGCTCATCTGTGGGGTACTGTGTTCCTAAGGTTAGAAATATGCAACATTTTCTAATTCATAGAAAGTAAAGATAAGTCTGTTATAATCTAGACCCTCCCAGGAAAAATAAAAGGACTGGGAACAGGGAGACAGCTCAGCAGTTAACATGCCTGCCACACAAGAATGAGGACTGGAGTTTGGATAGCCAGAACCTTTGTAAATGCAGGGTGAGCATGGTAACTAGCTTATCATTCCCAGCTTGGAAGACAGGGAAATCACTAGAGCAAACTGGCTAAGGAGACAAGCTCTGAGACCCTGACTGAGAGACCCTGCCTAGGGAGAATAGGGAGAAGAGCCATCAAAATAGAGATTCGCAACATCAACGTTGTTGTGGCACAGTCCAGGAAAGGGGAACTGTAGCAAGCAAGTGAGCCTCCTGGAGACACCCACCATTTTTGCATAGCTGTGATGGGTATACTGTTATGAAGCATGGACCCCAGGGATTTTGTCTCTGGGTTGCTCCTTACTGCTGATGTACCTTTCCATGCTTGCCAGTTCTGTATTTCTCATACATCTAGCATGATACAGCTAGAAGTGAGGAAATCCTCACCCCCTATATAAGGTCTAGTGTGATTATTTCCTGGGTGACAGCAGACTGATTTGGGCAATTTTCTTGCAGAACAATATGAAAATGAACTTTATAAAATAATGTTGTTTAGATGAATTTATTTTGTAAGTCCTGATAATAATTTTATAGAACTCCTGATTTGATTCAAGTAATTTTAAGCCCTTCTGCAGAATAGCAAAAACTGCATAGGTAGTTCTGTGAGACTTCTTGTGTCACAAGCATGTAAATTGCTCAAGGAAGAAGAACAGGTTTGGCACAGATTTATTATCAAGAAAAAAATTCATGCTAAGTTAGATCCAGGGATGCAGTCACAAATCTTGATTTGTACCATGATTTTTTAAGGCCACAAACATGGATGATTAACTAATCTAAGTATACAAGACTTCAAAAACAAGTATAAGACAGATCACTTGTTTCTGGGTAAAACCCTTGTTAACCTATGACATAAAAACCTATTGCTTTGAACTTATAATGGCCTTGTGGAATGGAAGATACATAAAAAACTATTGCCTTGAAATTATATTGAGCTTGTGAAATGAAAGACAGATAAAACTATTGCTTCGAACTTATAATGAACTTTTGGTGCTAAAAGATAGATAAAGACTGTTTAGTCAGATGCAAGTTTTAATAGAAAAACATAATCAATAATCCTGCTGTAACTCCCTCTTGTGTAACAAATTTTTGATGATTGCTTTTATGGCTATGAGGTAATTCTTCTTAGGTAAAGAACTTCGTTTTAGGGAATATAAAAAGGCTAAGAGAGAAAATAAAGTGTGGTTATTGCAGGAGTTGGAGCTTTGCTCCCCCACCATCCATCAAATATATGTCTGTCAGTCTGATTGTCTGTATGTCTGTGTGTATGCGTATGTGTATGTATGTGTGAATTTGTTGTAGCACATTAGAGCCTGCCTTTGCTTCATCGACCATATGTGTATGTGTGTGAGTGTGAAATTTTGTTTCCCCTTTTTCTTTTCTCTATCAGCAGCCTATGGCAGAAGCCAGAAGCTCTGGCTCCTTCTCCTCTCCCTTTCTCTTTAAGTTTATTACTTCAACCAGCAAAGACAGCCACCAGAACCTGCAGGTCCAACTGTTAAAGAGTCAAAGAAAGTTCAGAGTTGCTCTGCAGAAGCTGATAACCAGTTACAAAGTACTGGCCCTGAAACGTAAAGAGATATTAGAGCTTTTCACCAGGCACAAACAGTGTTGGCCCCGAGAAGCCCCAAGAAACCAGCTTTTTGGACCCTTTCGGAGAGTCGACGTCCCACCTGGTTAACCCTGGTGTCAAAGCCAGCCTTTGACATTGGTACACCAAAGCACATTCATACATGTGAACCTGTACACACACATGCACCCATACACAGGCAAAGATACACATGCAAATTTGAATACAGACAAGAACACGACATACACAGAAACAAGAAAACAAATTAAATAAAGGACGTTGGAACTCACTGTAAATACATACAAAGCTTCTTGGAAAGGAATAGGATTATCATGGTAAACATCATGCAGGAAAAAAACATTTGATAGTAAACAATGTCTACCAAAACATAACTTCTCAAAACACATTTTACAAATTGACTTGTGATTTGTAGACTTTGAATGCTTTTCATTCATTCCTACACACCTGAATGAATGGCAGCTACTGCTTCATTCTTCACACTCCAAGGCTCTGTACTTTGCTCCAGAAATGTGACCAGGTATGGCTTAGAGAGAGCAAGACCTGTTTGGAAAAAGGAACAAGATGCTTAGGTGTTTTCTCCTGGAAATTAACATTTGAACCCAGTTCTGTGCTTAGAAGGAAAGAAAAAAAGATGATTAAAGATCCTGGAAAATTCTGTCTCTAAACATTTCCTGAATGACAGGATGCTTAGGAGTCATTTACAACCTGCATATCCTGAGCCTCATTACAAGGAAAAGTATTAAAGCTAATGGGTGAGACATTTTCTTTAACACACATGTTCTGTGCCTCATCCACTAAGCTTCTGACATTGACCCTACAGGATGAGTACTTTGAAAACAAATCTATAAAAAAAAAAAAAATCACAAAAAAGTTCCTTGGCTATATCAGCAATGCTTTTAAACTGGGCATATAAAACAAATCAACACCTGGATAATGGTGGTGCACCCCTTTAATTCCAGCACTTAGCAGGCAGAGGGCAGACAAATCTCTAAGTTTGAGGCCAGACTGGTCTATAGAGCAACCCTGTAGTGACCCTACACAAAGAAACCCTGTCTTGAAAAACCAAAAAGAAAAGAGAGAGAGGAAGAGGAGAAGGAGGAGTAGAACCAGAACCAGAACAAGAAGAACAAGAGCATAAAAGGAAAAAAGTAAACAAAAGCACAAGCTCCCATAGGATAGTCTGTCTAGGCAGGGAGGCAGTCACATATTGACTGTGAAATAAGAGCTCATGACAGAAGTGATCCTCACCCAGGAACACAAGGTTACTGTAATTCTCCAGCATCACTTCCTTATACAAGTTCCACTGAGCAGAGTCCAAGCATTCACACTCATCTGCAGAGAAATCAATGGCTACATCTGTGAATGACAGAAGTTCCTGAAATAAAATAAATGAATAGCAAAAATTAATTAAATAAGACAATAAAGTAAATATCAAAGTCGGCAAGCTTGCAGTCACAATGCCAAAGGTGAAGGGAGATCTTGAAATATTTCTGAAATTGCTATGTAATGTTAAATAGATTCTTCAAAATGAAGTTTTACTATCTTTACTTAAAAGAAGAGATAATGACATAAGAGCAAATAAACTTACATGAATGTAATTTTATGAAATATAAAGTGTAAAATTTAGGCATCCACAAATACAGGCATTTAGTGTAGTATGCTTCCATTATATGCCAGACATTAGGATATTCTCACAGGGTAAAGACACAGTAATATGGTTGGAGCTGGTCTTTGCTACTTTGTGGGTTCTTTCTTCCACCTTTTTCCACCCTTGTGCTGTCTTTGCTACTTTGTGGATTCTTCTTTCCTCCACCCTTCTTCACCTTTTCCCACCCCTTCATGCCCCCTAACACAAGAATAGGAAAGAATCAAGGATAGAAGGGAGTCAAAAAGAT